GGGGAGGCAAAGCTGGGGCGCTGGGCTGTCTGCCACTGCTGCTGGTTTTCTGAAAGGGGTTGCCTGCACAGCGGAGTGACTGGCACCTGGGTTTGCCTAGCTCAGGTATGAGCAAAGCCCTACCCCAGTCTCTGTTTCCTCATGGGTGCCATCCTCACCTGTGTGTCACCAGGACTTTGGACGACGGCTCTCTGAGTTATTGGCACAACTGTTGCACCAGTTCACAAAAAACATTTTAAAAATAGATTTCCATCTACATGCATCCCTTTAAATATGTTTACAATTGTTTCTCTCTGGCTTGCTTTTGTACTTGGCTGAAATTAGAGGAGATAACTGATAAGCCGTGGTGCAGTTTGGTTCCTTTGCATTACAGGGCTATTTCACTGGGGTTCATAACATCTCCCCATGTACATCAGTATAAGTGAGATAAGAAACAAGCTTCAAAGTCAGCTGTCAGTTATGCCTGTACATCCTCACCTGTGAGGTTACATGGGTGTAACTGATGTCAGAAATGTTCTTTGTGGCTGGAATTGGCAGGGCTGTCCCTAGGGGGGCGGGAATTGGGGCGACTGCTTTGGGGGGCCCTGCGGACAGTGCCGTACAGATGCCACTGCGGCCGCCGCACACCGCTGGCTCCATGCTCCCGCCGCTTGCCGTTCCCTCTTCAAACACCCCGCGCTCTGGCCGCTCGCCACCCCCCCAACCCTGCACAGGCTGATATGCCCCAGGCTTTGCACACCCCTAAGGACATCTCTGGGAATTGGTGTAACATTTCATTCTAGTTATAACAATTTAATCTGGATTGTGCTGGCTCTTATCCCTGGGGTAAGAAATAAACTGGTTACTACTGTAAGCCAATATGAACTGATGCAAACCAGGAGCTCATTTGTTGAGTCAAGCTATATCTTTACTAAATGTTGAAAAGAGTGAAATCCACCCCTTCCAAATCATAAAGCTTGTGTAACAAGGGATGACTTTGGTGAGGGCTTTGTGCTTTTAAACTATTTGTTCCTTTGCCATTTCAATTTTTTTTTTAAATGCTCAGTTTTACTCTAGAGTATAAAGTACATCCAGTGCTACTACATTCTTAGTCCATATCTGCTGTTGCTTCAGCTTTCCCCGCAGGCACTTGGGCTAAGTACAGACAGTCAAAAAGTCCAAGGCAGAATCAGTTAATTCTAGGCAGCTTCCTCTAAGCTGCAGAAGTTGAACTGATAACCAACTGAACTGTTTTTCAGTTTTCAATTGGGAAAGGCAGGCTGTATGAGAGCAAAGCATCCTGGGATGCTGGGAAACTGAGTTAACTTGAACTGGGAAGGGATCTGGGACAGAAGTTCCATAAATTGGTTTGACCTAAATCAGTTGAGTCTGATACTACATCCAACCAAGTTCATCTTAAACCGGTTTTGGCCATTTTGAAAGCAGTTTATGTGCCCCGAACTTCTATTCTGTTACAGGTTTAAACAAGTTTCCAATCACTTAAACTGGTTTATATGTAACTTCTGTCCCTAGCCTTGGGCGATAGGACTGTCAACAAGCATGTCTCGTCCAACACTGCTAGGGATGTTTAGATTTGAAAAAGTGAGAAGATGAGGCCTAAAGCCAGAAACATTTCATGCCCCTGAGTAAACTTTTACTGCGGAGCAAGAGGGGGAAATCCAAAGTTCGGTGTAGAGAGCTGCATATCATATGCAGCTATATCAAAACTTTTCTGCTGGAGTTTTCCATCAAAATGGGAAAGCTGCAGATTCAGTTCATTTGGCGTGTTTGGGAAGTGGGATGCAGCACTCTGTTTGGTGACATTTATCTGTTTCTGGCTGTCTCTTGCATGATATTGGAAAAAGGAGCAGCTTGATTGTTGAGAGTTCAAGGACAAGATCACAAGGTGTGGAGTGACAGGAAGTAGCGGTTGCTCAGTGCGGTCAGAAGCCAATGATGGTGCTTTGGGCAGGTGGCAGTGGCTGACTACATTGCTTTAATATTATTTAGTGTCGTGGCTTTACAGAAATTGTGGGGATGACCACAAATATAGCCACTGGGGATTAGCAGGTGGGCTTGATGTAAATGAGAATCGTCTTGTAATGACCTATCAAAGACATGCTAATCAAGTGAAGTTGACAAGCAGCCATATCTGTTGTACTTCCATTTATTTTCTACATGGAACTTGGCCTTATAAATAGGATCATGCTAATGCAACACTCATTACAAATAAAAAAAATAAATCCTGACCATGACCAGAAAGTGCAAAATCACTGTCCTTGCGTCCAGAGCCAATGGGAAGTTTGCTGCCCTATCTGTGAGCAGTTGGAGACTGTATGGATGTTGGTGTTTGTACTAGAACAAAGGCTCATGCTTATCATTATCCTAAATGCAGACAAAATGTCTGGCACAGCTCTGTGCCTTTGTCACTGGGCAAGCAGCCCGTGAATGAGAGAGCGTGAAGGTCGTTTCGGTACATTTCTTCTTCCAGCTTCCCATTATGAACCAAGCCTGGTGTTTTCTTTTTACATGCCCTGCTGCATGGTGAGTGGTTTCAAAATGAATGTGTGCGTACATGCTGAAACTTGACTGCCTCCACTTTGTTTGGCCATGGCTTCTGGGTTTAAATTGCATCAGTAGAGAGCAGGCTGTTCTCGCTGTGAAGGGGTGGTTGGGATGGGAGGACTGAGACTTGCTGAAATCGTAGAAACTATCAAGTGCACCCCACATCTGAAATCACAGCGGCATGTAGGCAGATGGGAAGGTTTTTAATCACATGATCCAATCACACACGGTAGGCAGCAGTCAAAATGGCTATAGCAGTCTTGTCACATGAATGAAGTCATTCACCTGGCACTGTGTTAGTGCCCATTGTTGCTGTGTTGTATAGGGACTGTTTTTGCTCCCCAGAAAGGTAGTTATGCAACACAAGTTTTCCCTCATAGTCTTGTGACAGTTGGATAAGAGCCTGGCTAAGATTGCTTCAGAGAAAGCTGCTGGTTTTTATGGAGTGAATTCATATGGGGGGTGGGGGAGAGAGTGACTCAGGGATGGCTTGGAGCCTAGTACAAAATGCCTCCCCGTGACTGGGGAACCTGCTGATGGCAACTAATGTTTCCAAGCTTTCTTTGCCACAGCAGATGCAGCTCTACCCCTGCCTGACTCTTATGGCTCCTATGACCCTGTACCCAGCAGTGTGTTTGGGGTTTGAGGGTGAGATGTTGCCTCCCCACCCTAAAGAGGCTTTGCTGTGGAGGGCTGAGCCCTGCGTCAGATGCGGAGGAGAATGGGGCATAAGGAGGAGCCCTCGGGGAGTTCATGCTGGTACCTGTTCCTCAGCTGTAGCAGCCTGAGTCCACCCTCCCCTCTGCTCTCCAGCGGTCAGCATAATCCCATTCCTACCTCCCTTGCTCCAGCTGCTGAAAGAGATCACTATGCCTCTGTGGGCAGGAAACCAACAAAGTGAAGGATATTCAAATTTATCATAAGTTTCAGCCTGGAACATAATCGTAGCTCAAGGGAACCCAGTGGAACAGATGGCTTTTGCTCCTGTTGGTCATTGCTTCTCTTGTTCTGGCTTTTCTACAGGCTGCATACAGAAAATATTAGGGTGCCTGCCTTTACTGGTTTGGTGCCCCAAATGCTCAAAGAAACATCAAGTATTGTGCAGAATCCCCTAGAGGATGAAGCAGATTTCAGTCCTATTGAGATATTGAAGCTACCAAAAATCAATTTCTAACTCGCTTTCTGGGCTGGAAGGAACAGGGAGCTCAGAAGAGCAGGTATATAATCTCTGAAGAACTTCTCCAGCTGGTTACTGAGAAGGTATAGGTGGAGCCTGAAGCCAGTTGCAACTGGATGCAGAATGTTTTCAACAAGGCACAGTAAAAGGGAGAAAACTCCTTAAAGTTGTTGTCCTTGTGATTCTTTTAAGGATTTAGGGATACTCTTCTGGAAAGCAGAAAGTCCTAGTCCCGAATCCCATTCATGAAGTTTTCAATATTTTTCCGGTTGGGTGTCCCCAGGTTTGGTTATCATGAGGCCAGAAGGCCATTTGCCAGAATCCCAAGCTGGGAATGCAGCATGTATGGCTGTGTATACATGTATTGTATATGCTGTTATAAAAAAGCATAGCATGTACAGATTTTCATATTATTCAGAGATTTGCCCAAAGTTTTACTTAAATTTGATATTACTCATAATACACGGGAGGGGGAACACTATTGCATTTACAGTCTGACAATTTTGTGGTTGTTCCAGGAAAAGACTGTTTTGAGGGCCTCTGGGTCCTGTTTATACCTTTAAATTGAGGATAAAATAACCAACTTGATAAAATTATTTTTCCCCTCCAAACAAAAAAATCCCAGCCTGGACATTCTCCCATTTACTCTGCAGCCTTCAAATCAACACCAAGGAGAAAAACAATGTACAGCAAGTAGCGTTTGAGGCATGAGGGACTAAAGATAAGATTGATAAAGCAAGTGGGATTCACACAATCTCAGCCTTTACAAATGCCCTGTACAAAGGCTTGGTCAGCAAGCAACAGTCCTCAGATTGACTATATTACTAGTGCCCATTACACAAGTTTCCCATTCCCCAGGTATGGTTTGGTGGGGTTTTTTGGTTTTGTTTTTCTTTCTTTCTTTCTTGTTTTTTAAAGGGGAAAAATAGTTCCTGGATTGAAGAAGCCTTCAGTTGCTGCAAAGAGATATTTAGTTGCATTCAAGTTTAGTAGGGTCCAGGTGAATGCAGGTGAATCATCTGCTTCCCACAGTATCACTGCTGCTTGGCCTGTCTGTATCTGGGGCTCCCCTACACTGCTCAAGATGGTCCCTGACACTTTTGGCCAATCCTGCTGGCAGCAGCACTAAATATTGATTAACAAGAGGTACTGGTGCAAAGGTTTATGTTTCAGTGAGGTGTCCAGTGCCATTTTGGCAGATGCCATT